CCGGGCGCCGTCCCCCCCTCTCCCCCCCGCGCCCCCCGGGATGGCGCCGGCGCGCCCCGCACTCTCCGGCCAACTTGGCGATGAGGAGCAGCAACTTCGCCGCGGCCCCCGGCCCCTCCCTCGGGGGGGTGGCGGGGAATAGCGGAGCGTCCCGGGGCGGCCCCCCGGCCTTCCCGGCAGAAGTTTGCGAGCGGGAGCGGGAGAGGTGGAGGAGGGTGACACTTGGGGTAAAAGGAGGAGGTGACACATTGGGGTTGGGGGGAGGAGCAGGGGAAGGAGATGACACATTGCACTGGGGATGGGGTGGGGGAGGGAGGCTTATCCCCTCCCCTCCGGTTTCCTTCAGGATGATTATTTCCAGGCCCTTTTCTCTCGGTCGGGTCCTTCGCCGCGATGCTGTCGGGGAAGTTTTATTATTATCTGGGAAATGATGCCGCTCTCGGTGATGGATAATTCGTAGTAAATCCGCTGCTGCGGTTTTTCTTTTTTTTTTTTTTTCCTTCTTGCTTCCCTCCTTCCTTTCATTCGTCTTTGTGGCCCGAGCAGCGCCGGGAAAATTCCGTTTCTTCAGCAACTTGTTATTCCGGAGCCGGGCCTGCTCCCCTCGCCCTGGGGCTGCCCTTCCCGCACAGGTACGGGGCCGGGGGTGCCCACGCCTGCCCCAGCACTGGGCACTTCTTTATTTTGGTTTGTTTCCCTCCCTCCTGCGCCCGTGTAGGTGGAGTGGGGCTCTGTGTGGGACTCTGCCATTTGGTGTAGTCCTCTTATGCATGTTCCTTTCCTTTCTTCACTTGCCTTCCTGCAGGATTTTTTCTTTTTTTTTTTTTTTTTTTTTTTGTGATGATGTGTGTTTTGTTTTTTCCTCTTTATTATTCCGTGCTTCACTGTCGGTACAGCTTTCTTCTCAACCACCTCTGCAGTTTGGTGGGTGCTGATGGTTTAGTACGCTGAGGTTTTTTGGGTGAATTCGTATTTTATTAATGCATGGAGCTCTTCATTCAACTTCTTCTCAAGTGTCAAAAAATAAGGCTATGAACAGATGTGTTTCAATATGGAGAAATTTCTAAGTTCCTAATTCTTGGGGGTGGAGGAAAGAGTGCCATTGGAGAGTGGCTTTTGTTTTCGATTGGTGAACAAATGTCATCACATTTCAGTCACGTGCTGTAATATTCTTTGTTCAGCTATCAAACTATGATATCTGCTACACCTGTTCCCACTTTTTAATTGTAAGTAACGGTGATTGCCTGCAAATCTTACAATTGCAGATAGGAGCACTTTCTCCCTTTCTCTCCCCCTTCCATCCTCTTGGATATTTGTTTGGGCCCAAGCACTGAGCTTGACAATGAACTTTTGTTCACTGTGGAGCCTGCGTGTAGAAAGGTCCCACTGGGGGTAATAACGTGCGTGTCACGAGAAAGTTGTGTCCTGTGATGTACCGTGGGTCTGAGCATGGAAAAATCAGGTGGGGACGTGCGCTCCGTAATGGCAGGGCTTGAGGAGGAGGCAGGCTTCTTTGGGCCAGGCAAATTTTCTTGTGCTGTTGCTTGTTAGCAGGTTAAAGAATAGATGCTCCTCTACACCCGTATGTGTAGATAGAAGCTTTTTTTTTTTTTTTTTGCTTAGCTGTAGGTTTTCAGGTATCAGAAATAAAATGGATTTTGGCTCTCTGTTTACTCTTTTTTTTTTCCTCTTCCTCTCTTCCCCCCCACCCTCCCGCCCCTTTTTCTCATTGTGCTGACTTCTAACAATGAAGACACCTGCTTAGTTTCAGTTTTGTAACTTGGCTTCCTCTAGCTTTCCTGTGATTTCCTGGAGTTAGCTGGTGAGACCAGACCTGCTACATAGCAGGGGAATTTCTAACTTTGATGAAGGGTGGCTTATTTTGAGGCTTCATTTGTGGAAAAAATGGCATGTGTTTCAATGCCTTGTTTAAAAAAAGCCCTTAAAATCCTAAAATTCATTACTTCTACCAGATTAACATCTAATGACAGAACTTTAATACTGAACTTGTTAGTGATTGTGTATAATACAACTTTATAATTTTTATTAAATAATGACATTAAATTGCTATTGAGAACAGGATCTTAAAGAAATAAAAAAATAGCATAACTACCCATATTAGTTAAAGAAGTTAATTATCATGTCTTAGGAGAAAGATCACAGTCTTTGGAAATTTTGTTTATATCTGTGCATGCTTCACAATAGCTAAATGAAACTTTCTTTGGGGCATTTTTTAATGTTGATTTCTGGAAGGGAATTCTGTAGCTCAGTAAACGAAACTTTAAAACTGTATTTAAAAAACAGATGATGAGATTCTCAAATATTTTTAAAACTTTCAACTTCACTATGGTAGAGAGATTATTTTATGGTAGTTATATCAGCTAGGGGTTTGAGCTGATACGGAGGGATTACGGAGCAGCCTCTCTGTCCATTCATTCATGTTGTGCAGTAGTGTGTATGGAGTGTGTCTTCAAGGTCTTGGGAGACCATTGTCTAGCAGAAGGTGGGTGCATGCTTGCTGGGAGTACTTGCCACCAGATGGATGTCAGCTATGTCATATCCCAAGATTTCAGCCTCAGTGACCTGAGCAACAAGAAATTTGGATCCCGTTATGGGTTTTGATGATTTTGCATTTAACTAGTAAAGCTAACATGTTGTGTAATTCAAAATGTTACGTGGAGGAGTCTTTGTAATTAATAATTTTTCGCCATTAGTGTTTTTAAGATTTTTACCTGAAAGTTTTTACTCTTTGCCCTCCTCTATGTGCATCTTGAACTAGTTTTGTTGGTGGAAGCAGGCATTTGTAAGTAGTTTTCTTCCTTTAGGGAAAATAAAAAAACTTTCCTTCAAAGAACTTAAAGCAAAAGTAGGAAATTAAAACTTAGGCTGCTTAGAAAAAAGTGCTGTTGTGTTTTCCAGGTTCAATAGTGAGGTCTCCACTTTAAGTTTTGTAAATCTGTCTTTTCACTGTAGCTATTCAGCTTTAGCTGTGTTTCAAATATTGGTCCTATTTCTTATTCCAACTTTTTTTTTTAGAGATGAGGTTTTGTGTGTGCCTATTAAACTTCACTGTAGAAATGATGATTTTAAAAAAAATTAAAAATGTCTTGGTGTGGATCCTTACAAAGGACACAATTTTCATGAACTTTTTTTTTTTAGAAAATAAGAAGTGTTTTATTGACTGCTTAAAAAGTTGTGTAATTCTGTGTGCAGTTGGAAAGCTTTGATAGTGAGCCTGGCTATCACTTGTGTTGTTCATGCAGTTTGTTTATAATGAACACATTGTAGCTGTTCAGTTCCTTTATTCTTTTTCTCAGTGCCATGAAGAATTTTATTTGGTCAAATGAATTGATACTTCTGGAAATTGTTTGCAATGGAGATTTCTCTTTTATTTGAGTCCAGTTTGAAAGAACCTGGATGGACTATCTTACTTTATGTGTTATTGGCACTTTGTACGGGTACCAGAAACTCAAGGTGAAAGTCATGTGAGAAACATGTGTTGGTGACCCTAACCTTTTTACTGGAGTTTTGGGTTTGTTGGCTTTACGTGTTTAAAATATTAAATATAAGAAAGACCTTCATGTGGTGATAGAGCTTTGCTTTTTGGAGGGCCATCTCTGGGGATGTGAGCTGTAAAGCATCTTCTTCAGGAGAGGCATCTTGTGTAGAAGGGGCAGTGCTAAAAACCTATTATTAAGCTTCTAATAATATTTCTTCACTGTTCCCTTCACCCTTTATGCTCACAACTGTGCAGTCACATGTGTAGCTGTGTACTAGAAGTGTAAGACTCTACAAAAGGCCTGGCTCCTGTACGTTCGTGAATTGCCCTTGTTCAATTACTCTGTGCCAGAAAGCAGCTCACATCCTGTTTCTGATGTATTTTAACAGCACAAAGGTTTTTTAGGAGCCAACCATATAGTGGAAAGGTGGGGCAGAGCACAGAAGAGTTTTGAGATGTCTGCTGAATGCAAAGGGCTGGTACTTACTTCTGTACCCTGTAATTAGAGGGTATAGAAGGATAGTTTTTATAGGTATCTTACAGTAATATTTCCTACAGTTCAGTATAGCACAAAGCCAGTGTCTAGCTTGTGCTGGTTGTGGAGATATGCATTATGCAGGCAAAAAATAATTTTATTTACATTTGGTGGTGGGGGATGTAACTTTGTATTTTCTAATTTTCTTTTAGTTATTTTTTGTTATGGCACATAGAGTATCATTAAAAAAATGTAGCCACTTTGTTTCTTTCATAAGTTTTTATTTA